GGAGGTAGGAACCTGTACGGATTCTGACCAATACCGATACGAATGCTTTTGATGGGCAGCCGGAAAGGTGAAGAGGAGGATTGTATCGCAGCGTTGAGCTGTGAAGAGGTAGAGTTGGGTTGAACACGGCCCGGTGGAGGGGACAAACACAAAGAGGTGATGGTGGTTGAGGAAGAGAGAACAACACTGGGAGTCCAATCTTCTTAAAGGGTCGACTGACACAGCTGCTTGACAGGATAGACACGCATCTCTATATTGAGGAGGTGCAACAAAGCCCAATTCGGAGACGCACGGCTCACCTCTTGAGTGGCGTACTTCAATGGAGAAGCCAAGGACGACACTGGTTTCTGTGCAATCAGAGTTGTGCTTTCCAATGCTGCACGACGTGGACCCCTTTGACGCAGTTGGCTCTTCCGACACCACCAGAGCTTGTGCTCAAGTGCACATACCCCTCCTCCCCTCCCTCATTGCTGCACGCACAAGCCAGCTTGGACAAGATTAGGTTCTTCGTGACTCTATTCACTCGCTGCCTCGTCGGCATGTTGCTGGAACCATACTCCAGACGCTCTCTCCTTTCACCACTTTCAAGTCTGCGCTTAATTCAGCTCTCACAGCAGGTACCCAAACAGAACTCCAGGAGTCTCTTCCACAATGTCTTGTGGTCGTCATGGAATGGCTCAGAGATGACCTGGAGTGAACAGACCGAGCGGATCACGGATGACCCCAACAAATGCCAAGAGAGAGGCAATCGCTTTGAAAGAAGAATGTAAGGGACCTCTCTTCCGGTTTGAATAGACTCGAGCGGCTATTGCAACCACCACAATTCTACAGTTGGCTTCAGCTGTCTGACTCTGAGCCGTGTTGCTATGTTCTCACGCTCAAAGCTCTCCGTGTCGGGATCAAGCTCAATCACGTTGAAGTCGAACAGAGCTCAAAGGCATACCGGCAGGGTAGAACGAGTACGGCGACCAGACCAGGTGTGCAAGATGGAACGTGCAGAGGCGTCTAAATTCATACAAGGCTTGGTCGGTAAACATGGACGTATCGGCTGCACCGCCTGCCGCTTGCCACACTGTCATGCATCCTCACCTGCCTTTCTGATTGCTGTCTGGGGACGCCATCCCTCATGTACTGATAGCTGCTTTACCGGTCAGAATGTGACTTCACTACTTGCCCGCTCCGCCTCTAGGCTTCTCACTGAATCACCTCGTTTCAGTCAAGCGCAAAGTTATCAAAAGCATGTCAACTAAGCTGGGCAGTAGCTACCGGGTAGCTAGCAAGGGCTCGCAAACTTGGATGTCGAGTTCGGCGGATGCCCGAGAAGAAAGTCAAGAGAAAAAAAAAAAAGTCTTGGAGCGCAATGTGACACGAGCGCCTTGTTCGGTGCATTCACATTTTTAGGACCCCCACGTTCGCTCGGCAGCATTCCCTCTGGTCCGTGCTGAAAAAAAAAAAGTGAGAACGTGTCCTGGCAAAATTCGCCGTCCGCTCATGCATCTCCAGCACCCTGCCTTAAACCGACACCAATTCACTTGATATCCAATCCACACTACACTGGTATTGCGCTGCATCACCCTCACTTCTCCATTCAAGATGGCGGCTGCTATCTGACAAGATTGTGGGGCTGCCACTCCATCCAAACGCATCAGAAACGGCCGAGTAAAGGATTCTTGAATCGAGCACTTGACATTGTGCAAGCCTGGAGCCGACTCCCGTCTCAATCACTTCAGTGTACAGATTGTAGACACACACTCCTGCTCTCTGCCTTGATGATGCTCATGGGGTTTCGAATCAGAGTGTGCTGCGTGTCAGCAAACCAACCGAGTGGCAGTCGTGAGACAAGAAAATTAAGGCATAGCTGTCAGGCACAGCTGGACGTGCCAGAAGACTTTGCGCTGAAATTAAGTGTGTTCGATTGATATTCCAAACAATTCAAGGAGAAAAAATGTACTTGAATCGGCCGAATTTCCTGGACACGGGTCAGACGAGCTGGTCTCATCGGTCCACGCCAACCTCCAGCTCCCCTTGCCCCATTTCGATTCGGATCACCACCATCTCACATCTGTGCCAAACCCGGTCTATCCCTGACATCATGGAGATCGACTTGTCCAACCGAGACCAGTTGTCCCAGGCAGGAGGCAAGCCCATCGCCTTTCCCCTCCTTCAACTCATCAGCGAAGCTCGCAACGAACATGGTATGCGTCAGCAGGACTTTGCTCGCTACCGACGATACTGTGCTTCCAAGGTCCACCGTCTCCGCCAACTGCTCTCTTTGACCCACTCTGATGGCTCGCACAAGGCTGAAGCCAAGAAGTCCAAGACTGCAAAGGCTGCACGAGGCAAAAAACCCAAAAAGGCTCAGCAAGCCGCTGCTCAGAGCGCCAACGCCAAAGGTCACGGCAACGTCTTCACCCCCAAGAAGCTCGACATTGCCCAGGTCAACGACGCCCGTCCCGCCCACCTCCTCCTCTTCGAGGCCGAACGAGCATGGGCTTACTCCCAGGAGCTCCGATCCGAGGCCTTCGATGACGACTCCAACCCTCAGCTCCGCAAGCGCGGCATCTCGAGGCTTCGACGTGCCCAGCAGTGGTCCACCTCTCTCCACCAGCTCACTCAAGCGCTGTCGGCTCGCTTCGACGTCTATTCGCGCGCCGAGGCGGCGGCTTACCTGCTCATCATCAAGGCTACCACCGCATTCGACCGCTCGCAATGGGAAAAGGCCCTCCACATGCTGTCCGTTGGCCGCAACTTGCTCAACGCCATCGCCACAAACAGCCCCACCAGCCGCGCCGAGGCCCTTGCCAACAGCTTCGTCGATGCCGGCGAGGCCCAGATGCGCTACTCAGCCTACCAGCTCGGCAACTCCGAGCAGGACATGGACAAGATTGCCGCTTCCACCGCCACCCCCGACGTGTGCCAGCAGGTCCTGCCCGAGTACCCCCAGCTCGTCGAGGAGCTCACCTCGGCCAAGCTCAAGGCTGGATCCGGACAGAAGCAGGCCCTCTCTCTCAGCTGGCACGGCCACCAGATCCCCGTCCGCAACCCCGAATTGCTCGACACCATCGTTTCGGCTCAGTCTGAGGAAGCCGCCCTTCGAGAGTCGGTTGCGGTCGAGGCTGTCGGTGACCGTGACGCCGACGCTGCTACCCGCAAGACCAATGCGGCCGCTTCGGACAAGAAGGACGCCAAGCGTGTCCGTCTCTCGCACGCTCAGCGCAAGGCAAAGAAGCGTCAATTTGCGCAGGGCGAGTCGTCCGCCGATGGTTCCCGCACTGCCTCCACCTCGACTGTGCGACTGGGCAAGGCCGGCCGCACCGAGCTTGATCCTTTCGACCGCGCTCTCAGCGCCTTCACCGATGCCGAGGACGTCGCTCGTAAGCTGGTCGAGGACAATGCCGAGGCGCTCTCCAAGAGTCACTCGGCCAGGTATGAAACCGCCAGCAAAGATCTGCAGACCGCCCACGACTTTATCTTCTACCGATTGCTTGCTCTCCGCATCTGGCGCAACCTGCGCCTTGTCGCCGAGGTTGAGCGCCGTGCCGAGAAGCGTGAGAAGCGTGCCATGTCGAGCGTCGAAGCTCGTCTGAAGGGCAAGAGTGGTAGCAACAGTGGTTCTGCCTCTCAGAAGCGCACCAAGAGAAGTAAGCGCAAGCAGCAGAAGCTCGACGAAGCTATCGCCGCCAAGAAGGCCACGCCTCGCAAGAAGTCGCCCGGCTCGCGTCCCAAAAAGACACGCTCTGCCGCCAGCTCGCACACTCGTAAGCCGGCCAGAAGCGGTACCAGGAAGCTTCGCACTCGCCAGGCCCTGGCACGCGAGAATCGAGCTCGTGCCATCGCTGCGCAAAAGTCCAAACGCCGCGGTGCTCGAGCTGTACCCTCGCTCGCCAGACTGCTCGACGCTGCCGAGACCAGTCTCGTCGCCATGGGCTCTATTGCGCTCATCGAGTCTGAGCCAGATGTTTCGAGCCTCGTCGAGGCCAAGGCTGCCTGGTTCCGCAGCGAGATCCTGCGTCACCTGGCTCGTGCCTTCTCCCTCTCGGGTGCTCACGCCGAAGCAGTCCTTCTGCTCACTCGAGCTCAGCTGTACATCCGACAGGCTCGTCAGGCCGCCGATCTGGCTGAGGACGTCGATGAGGAAGACGCCGACTTCCCTCCCCGTCTCAAGTCGAGCAGCGGTTCCGATGCAGTCTTTGACCACTCGGATGAGGTGCTTGCCAGCCTGAAGCGAGCTGTGCAAAAGTCGCTCCTCAAAGCGCAGCGTGGATCCAACAAGGCCAAGTCGCAGGGCAAGGGCAAAGGAGCTTCGGCCATGTCGGACTCCCGTGCTGGTCAGGCTCTGCAGGAGCTCGCTCGCAAGTACATTGACTTTGATCCTGTTTCGCTTCAAGAAGCTCAGCGCGTACCCGAGGACGTCAAGGCTGAGTACGAGCAGGAACAGCAGGACACCTTCGCCCCTGTCTCCAAGCCCAAGCTCAAGGCTAACGCTGCTGCTGCCACTCCTCAGCCTGTCAAAGAGGCGCCACGAGCTCAGCCAGCTGTGACCAAGCAGCCCGAACCGGTGCAGCACCTCGAGGACGAGGACGAGGACGAAGAGGAAGCCGAGCACTTTGAGGATCAGGAAGAAGACGATGAGGAAGAGGCTGGAGATGTCTCACTGGCTTATGACCCCGGTAATGCACTCGCCGAGGAGGAAGAGGCCCGAGCTGAGGCTGAGGCTGCTGCCAAGAAGAAGGGCTGGCTCGGCGGTTGGTTCGGCCGCGGTTAAGTGCAGCCCTCAATACCTCTTGGTCAAACGCACTGTCGTCAAGCCCTTTGTGTCTCAGCGCATGTTGTCATGAAATCACATACAATCCTGAACTAAGCTCATCTTTCAATGCAGATCGTTTGACCTGTGACCGAACGAGGATGATGAAACCGAGAAATCGGGCACGAACATCATCAAAAGATGACTTATGCATCATGTGATATGTGTACATACACGTGCTCGGTTGGCATCTGTTGGCGTCGTGGCGCAATGGCTAGCGCATAGAGCTTCTAAACGTTCAAATAGGGGGGTTTTATCCCCTTTGAAAAATAACTCTAAGGCTGCGGGTTCGAGTCCCGCCGGTGCCTCAATTTTTTAACAGAGCCCCTTTTTTGTCATTTTCGAGCTCTCTATGACCAGGAGAACATGCTGTCGAAGTTTGAGGCATGGTTTATTAGGCAGATGCTGCGATATGATGGTTTCGTTTTTGTGCGGTGTGCTGCCTTGTGTATTTGGAGGCACGCGTATTTCATGTTCGGGAATTTCGAAAATGAATTTTTGTTGAAAGCTTCTTGGTTTGGTGGGCTTCACCGCGTGGCGCTTGTGAAGTCAAGCGGCGTGTCCAAGTGGGTGTGGAGGTTAAATGCTCAAACGCAGGGTCCACGTCTAGTGTGTCTCCTCGTCATGGCATACGAGGTTTGAGCGACGGTCTCTTCCTTCGACATCATCACCACCACAGTAAAGAGCATTCTACCACTGCAACGTCCCAAGCTGGTCTTCCTCAGAAATCTTCATCGGGACGTATACACCAATTCTGATTGCAACCGATGCCGCAATAGCACCGCAGAACCCTCCATCATTCCGGTGACAACATCCAAAGACAAACGGCGGGCGGGCCCGTCGTCACTGCTCTCATTTCGTATCTCTTCCCCGACATCTTCTGATTCGAGCTTCGAGCTTGATACGTTCTCAACACCTGCAAACGAGACTAGTGAACAAGGGCAGGATCATCGTCCCGAGGGCGTGGGTGGTACAAAGATGACGGATCCAACCAGTGCTGCCATTGAGCCAACTGCTGCGACCAACGGCAGTGTAAGCGGACGTAAGCCCGACCGGCTCAGCGACTTGGATCGATTCAATCCTCTACGCTCGGCCGCAGACGAGGACGATGATGGAGACGATGAGGACAATCTCAGTCCCTTGGATGATTCTGAGCTCAGTTCGGCGAGCTACCTCGCACGGCTTACTGGAGTGGCCTGTCTATGCAGTCTCCAATTTGGTTGGGATACGGGCATCGCTTCCGGAATGCTCGTGGCGATACACGCCGACTTGGGCCACGAACTCAGCGAGGGAGAGCAGGAGCTGATCGTTAGCGCAACGACGGTCGGTGCTATTTTCGGATCCATCATTGCAGGGAGGATGGCTGACTGGCTAGGCCGTAAAAAGGTCATGGTAGCTTCTGGCGTGCTCTTCCTCCTCGGTGCACTGGAGCAGGCGGCATCGCAGGTACTTAGGGAGCTCGTCTTGGGCAGGGTACTCGTCGGCCTCGGTGTTGGAATGGCGAGCATGGTCGTCCCCACATACCTTGCTGAAGTAGCTCCCACAAAGGTGCGTGGCAGAATCGTCGGCATCAACAGTCTGCTGGTCACCGGTGGTCAGGTCATCGCCTATCTCATAGATGCAGCCTTCTACAACCTGCCTCATGGATGGAGGTGGATGGTGCTGGCTGGTGGTATCCCCGCCATCTTTCAGCTAGTTGGCATGATCTACCTGGACGAATCACCTCGCTGGCTCGTAGCAAAGGGTCGCATCATTCGAGCCCGTCGAGTATTGCAGCGCATCTACCCACACGCCAGTGTCCGCATGATCGACAACGAGATCGACCGCATCGCTCGCAGTATGGATGGCACAACTCAACGCGAAGATGTCGATCCAGATGCAGCCCCTTCATTAGAACGCCGAACAGAAGAAGACGGAAATGCAGGAAACGATCTACAAGCGACATTTGACAGAATCGCAGCAGCCCCTGCACAACTCACCTCTTCCGCACGCCATCGCACAACTCAGGTGAAGAGCAAGCTCAACATGCTTCTGCACGACCCAACACATCGGCGGGCGCTGTTGATTGCTTGCGGGTTGCAGTTTTTCCAACAAGCAACAGGTAAGGTTGCATAGTACGAGGCTGTAGATTCTGGTAGATTCACTGATGCTCTTCGCTCTTCACCTTTGCGCAACTCGTCTTGACTGTGGAACAGGCTTCAACTCGCTCATGTACTTTTCCTCCCGTCTACTTCTTATGGCCAACTTTACAGCCAACCCAAACGCAGCCGCACTCAGCATCGCCTTGGCCAATTTCATCGGCACGATCATCGCCATGCGCTACATCGATGGATGGGGACGTCGCAAACTTCTCCTCTACACAACCGCAGCTATGGCGCTCTTCCTTTCCCTCGTCGCTATTGGATTCAGCCAAATCGACCTCGGCCCGGTATCCGGCCCACCTTCGGAACCCTCGCAAACCAGCATCACTTCAGCATGGCCGTACTGGACGCTGATATTTATGGTGCTCTTCACCTTGAGCTATGCCCTCGGATTGGGCATCGTACCGTGGCTGATTCAGTCGGAAATCTTTTCGGGCCAGGTTAGAGGCTTGGGAGCAGGTCTGGCGACGGCTACGAATTGGAGTACGAATCTGTTGGTTTCGGCGACGTTTTTGCACATGGTGAAATTGATCAAGCCCCAGGGATGTTTTGGCGTCTTTAGCGTGGTTTCGGCGCTAAGTTGCGGATTCACGTATTGGCAGTTGCCCGAGATGGCGGGTGTCAGCTTGAGCGATGTTGGCCAGGTTGCGAGGGATGGTAGAAGCGAGGCGTATCAGGTGGTCCCTTCTGCTGAAGACAGCGAGTAGCTTAGACAATGCACGGTCTGTAGCAGTTTGCAATATATGAATCTCATGTGCAGACTTGATCAAAAAGCAGAGAATCTGTGTTGGGTGGGCATGCTTTGCCATTTCTATCTCTGAGTGAGTCTGGAGAGCGAATTCATTTGGGAAGAAGACCGTTTGTAGAAGTAGAATCTCTGGAAGCGTGACCGACGTAATCTTCGACCTGATCGGCGTCGGCATCCTCGTCCAAATCGAGGATGAAAGGTGATGCGCCTTGGTCTGCCTCTCCTTTGCCTGGCTCTGGTGCGTCAGAGTAGGGCGAGTTGGAAGTTGTGCGGTGTTGTTGCGACGCGCCATTGCTACTGCTACCTGAATCCTGTCTGTGCGCCTCAGCTAGCTGCTGCTGCTGTTCTCTCTCAATTGCCTCTAGCACTTTTTTCGTCTCCTTCCAAACGATCCACCCCGTCGCCACACCTATCGCCGACCCAACACCGATATAGACCACATTCAAAACTTTGGCCCAACCATCCAGATGCGCGCGCTCCTCCCGATCCATCAACTGAAACATTCTCGTCCCCAACCAGACATGCAAGAACAACTTGGGCGTGATCAGAGCCGTGGCGGTCAAGAAATGCTTGAAAGAAACCGCATCGACCAGGCTGGCAAAGAAGAGGTTGGAATAGGCGAACGGGAAGGGACAGAATCGGATGAGGATTGCCATGGAAAGACCGCGTCGACGGACAGCGGTGGATAGCGCGACGTATTTGGGATCGTTCAAGGTGGAACTGATCCAAGAGACTCTTTTGGAGTGGTGGATGATGAGGAATCGTAAGACGCTAAAAGATACGGTGGCACCGAGGAGACAGGCTGTGGAGGCGAGAAGCCAAGCTTGAAGCAGATTCCCATTGAGTTCTGGATGCGAAGATGTGGCTTCGGCATGCACTCCCCATCCCAACCCACACAGAGTGATAGAAGTTCCATACCCAACAAGAGGAGGGAAGCTCACAACGACTACCAAAGCAACGAGCAAAGCCGCACCAAAAGGTTGTGTCCCGAACCAGATGGCGAGCTTGGCGGTGGCATCGAACATGGCCTCGGGTCCAATGTAGACGACGATTCCGAGTATGAGAAACTTGACACCGAGCACAAGGTAGAGGATGTATCGCTGCTCGGGTGGAAGCGCGAGGAAGGCGAGCCATGTTCGGTCGAGGTAGGAACGGATTTGGAGATAGGCAGTTTGGATGTGGGACGAGTAGCTGGTTGAACTGCGACTGGTGGAAGTGGTGTCACGCCGCAACGGTGCGTATCTCGCTCGATGCGAGTGCGTGGTCGGCATGGCGACGAGTCGATCGAGGAATGTCTATGCTGAAGAACTTGTTACTTTGCGTAGTGACTTGGCCGAGTGTGCACTGTCTGATGATGCTTCGTCTTGCTCTATCGAGTGGGAGGAGGGCGATTCTATGCAAATGTGTTGTGGAAAGGTGCAAAGGAGCCCTTCTAGCCGCCAGAAAAACTCTCTGACCAGCAGAGCGAAAGGATTTCAAGGACCTCTCTACGTTAGCTGGCAACAGAAATGAAAAGGGTGATGGTGGGATTGTACAAGCTGCGAGGTCATTTTTAAGCTTGGCGTGACGATTAAGTTAGCTCGCTTGGACCCTGAATTGCATCCAAATTCAGCAGCGCACACAGCCTTCTTCACGGGCCCCACGTTGCCGACAGAGAGAGGACGCTGTGCTCTTTTCAGCTCAATGTTGCTTTGACAGTGCTGTTGTCCATGCGGACAGAGTTGTTGAGAAAAGTTTCGGATGTCGGAGTTGGTGGAGGAGGAGCAGGAGAGGGATTCGCGTTGAGTGTTGACGCGCGCGTCGGATCTGTGTTGAGCCAAAGTGACAAAGAGACCAACACTTTGCACCTTTCCTACTCTCCAACACTCACTTCTCGATTTGGGCTGACATCCTCTGTCTCTCTTTCTTTCTTTCTTTCAGGATGTCATCCTCCTTCGCTTCCACCTCCTCGGCGCCAGGCAGCGTAGCTTCATCCAGCCTCTCCGTCTCCTCCCACGCCCGAGGATGTAGCGCAACCGACCTAGACCTCGCTACAACCTCTCTTACATCTACATCTCTCACCATCATCCCCTTGACATCTGTCGATCGAGTCCGCCTCCTATCCGGCATCTATGGCCCCTTTCGTCCACCTCAACCTTCTTCCGTACCGCTCTGGGTAGCATTGCATCTCAAAAAGCGCAAAAAAGCCATCCTCGTCGCTCCCACCTGGCTCACAGTAGACGCACTCACCGAAACGCTCAAACACGAAACTACCCAACCTGGATTCTCGCCTCTACCGCACTACTGGATCGGTGTTTCGCAAACCCTCCTCTCTCACGCTCCCGATGACATTCCTAACAGTAACAGAGTCCGTGCACTGCTCAAAGACATTCGCGAAGCAAGACAGAGCAAAATCCTATCCGGTGTACCGATGCTCAAC